GAAAGAATTAGGCTTCTAGCACTTTCCGTTTATATACAATAGGTCTTGACATTTGTACGGATACATTTGCATCGCGCGTTATCATGTAAATTAACAATTTTATGTTTAACAACAGAAATCGAAGATATGAAATATCTTGATGCAAATTATTGGGAAAATTTTCTTTTTAAAAAAATTATTCTCAATTAAAAGTATGTGAATTAAAATGTTATGCTAAACATAATCATATTCTCGATCCTGATAAAAATAAGCAATTTCTTACATCATTTTGGATTGAACGACGATGGGTATTAGAAATAAATGTTAGTCCTGTACATTTCTTATATTCAACTACACCATATAAGTACGTAACGCTTGTCTGAGGACTCGCTTAGCTCTTTTTCTCGTGGAAATGCATCCTCTTCGCATTTACTGAAAAAACAATTGAAAATCGTGGAAAACAGATTTTCGGTGTTTTTTTGACATTTGCACTCTCTTCACCACCCCCTCATCATGATTACCCAACAGATCCCATATTCCAAGTATCCGCATCGAAATACCGCTACAAATATCTTTTTCGAAAAATCAGTTTTTGATGCTTTTTTGACCCTGCGGACACACAAGCAAGCAATCTGACAATTCATGTTTACTGAACTCTTCTCTACGAGAAATGAAATCATCTAAAAATTTGATCTTCATACAATTAAGTCCTCAAACATTAAAAATGTTTTGACAAATTCACAAATATATATTAATTTCATATCAAAATATTGCAAATACAACACTTAAGAAACGTTACTTGTCTTTCTCTTATAGTAATATAAAAATAGACTCAATACTACATGTCTTATTTATGATCTATCGATCATTAGAATAGCGTCTACATCATAGTCAACATCGATCGGATAAAACCCTTCCGGAAGGATGAAATCGCGATCACCGGATACTTCATACATATCTATACTCAAACCCATCCACATGAGTCCTGGACATTGACAAAATAAATACTGCTTTCTCAGTCATCCGGATCATTTCTTCTTAGAATAAAACAAAACCTACATGGTATACCTCACATAAGAACTAATATTAAACATCAACATTTTCTAAATATTCTCTAGATTATACAATAATTTCTCCTCACACAGCTACCACTCATCGAAACCTTTGTTATATCTAACCCTTACACCAAATATCATCAACCATTCATTAAACTTCATTATAGATAACACTTATGTACAGTAACCTACACAAACCATCCATAATCATCTGCTATATTCCTATTCGCTTAAAACGAATATAGATGTCACTATATCTCAGTAAAGCAAAACTAGTTATTCACCGTTTTATTTCTCACCATGAAAACACCAATATATAAGGAATTCACAAACAGTATAAAATGTATTGTTCTCCTTCAATAGAATAATGCAGATTCAAAAAAAACGTCTGATGAGACCCTTAAGCAAGGTCGAAATCGCGATCACGGAGTGCTTCATACACACCCACACCCACACCCACACCCTCAAGAGCTTTAGTTCCAAGGAAATTGTTGTACTAAAGCAATGTATTTGTTTTATTGATGAAGATAATAAACGATTTATGGTCAAAGCAGGGATTAAAACAAATATTGATGATCTAGTATTAGCACATAAGCAGAAGAAAAAAAGAAACAAAACAAAAAAAACTTATAAATCATCATCAACATCATTACAATCTTCAACACAATTATTTTCAACAACACCTAAGATTAATTCACCAAATTATTATATACAGGCAAATTTGATTTCTGTTCTAATCTTATGATGATTTTTATTTAGTCTTTTGCACTGAATAAAGCATGCTCTCTGTGGTTTATTTACTGTAATGTTACGAATATTAATTCATGGACGAGTGAAATGATAATATAAAATCTATTCTTTTAGATTTCCTCTTGCTTTCTCATACAATAAGAATGGATCATTTATACTTATTAACCTTAATTCAATTTCGGTCTCTGTTAGAAATCAAATATAGAAAAACAACTGTCGAAACCACTAATAATACAAACAATAAAAGAGCACGAGTTGCATATTCTACTAGTGAGTTTTTTTAATTACACAGAAGCATAATCGGTTCAATACTATGTCTTAATAATGATCGTGTGTCCATTGAGCAAAGAAAATTGTTTTTAGAAGAAGTTTTTTTTGTTATTTCATAATGTACTGTAGCAAAATCTCATGCGTTCAGTTCTGTTTCAATAAGCCGAACGCAATTACCAAGTCCATCTTCATTCCTTATTAATTCGCCAATCTTTTTGGCATTTGTTTGATACATGGTGTAATTTTGAAACAAATCCTTAATTGCATTGGTCAAATTCTTCACATTAACTTGACGCAAGTTAATAGATCTTGGTCCCAACTTATTGATAAATACTCGATCACCATTCGATAATTGATCATGTACATTAGGTAATATTAATGCTGGTAAGCCATATCGTATACATATATGTGTAGTCCCAGCACCTCCATGATGAATTGCTGCTGATATATTCCGAAATAACCAATTGTGCGGAATAAGTTGTATTAAATAGAATATATTGTCATCTTTGGATAACTTATTAATAACTGTTTGTTCTACGCTTGCTAGCGATATAAGTGCTTTACAATTATTATTTCGAATAGCTTGTTGAATATTGTTGAATAATTCCAATTGTTTATCTATCTCAAACGTCGCACTGATATGTGAACCAAGACCAACATAAATGATCTTTTCGTTTTTCCATTTGTTTAAAACAGTCAGAATATCATCGGATGGTTCAAAATTATAGTTTTCTTCTTCAAGAATTGCACCAACCATGTGATGATTTTCTAACCAATCAGATGGACGTGGAAGTAAATGTTTTGAATAGATCGTGGCAGTTACCATTGGTTTATGAAATAAGGAGCGAATCATTTGATTATAATTCACTTTGATTGGTGGTAAGCCCACATTAGCACGAAGTTGATTGATTTTATCTGTATATAAAAATGAATGTGCACGTTCGAGTATTTTCCATTCAAGTGAATTGATCCAATTAAACAGACTTTGACTTTTAGTGGCTATGATAGGCGGCGCAAATTCCGCTGTAGAATCATAAGCACAACCATAAATTCCGATTGCTTTCATATTCGGATATTTCTCAATACAACTTAATCCAAATAAAACGGACATAACTGTTAAAACAATTAAATCAGCGTCTCTTATGCCAGCTAAAATTCCATTGAACCATTCTTCCCATAATGAGTGATATACACGTTTAAATGTGTCAGTGCTAAAAAGACTTGAATTCCGTCGTAATTCAATGCCATCGGATGTTGTTGAGAAAACCAATTCTAAGTCACCACCAATTTCAACTGTATCAATACCTGTCGAAAAAGACATTTTTTCATAAACGATGACTAGTGAATGACAGAGAGATTATAAGAGAATTATTTGAAGTGGTAGAAGAAACTTGACTTCATTTTTTCTGCATAAGTTAGACTACCAATAGATTACAGAAATCTTAAGACGACACACGTGCAACTTGCAATTTGATTGAAATAACGAGTTTTTAGTGACGTTTTCTATAGAACCTCAATTTTCCAATAGCACATAAAAGTTGAGATTTGAATTTTTTCGATATAATGAAAAAAAGTCGTTTGTGTATTGAGTGTTTGTCGATAATTCATTGACTCAAAATTGTTTTTTCTAATGTACAAACATTTCTCATGTTCCTTTTTCACACTTAGCTCTATTTGTTTTGTCGAAAAATCTTTAGAGACGTATCAAACAAGCACTGAAGTGCAGGTTGAAAAAGAACTGAATTTACTCGTCGAATCTGAGGACAGTGGTAAACAGTTCATTAGATTTCTTTTGCATTTTCGAACAACGAAAAGGCAATACGAATTTACTTCAGTGAATAATTTCCTAGACTAGATTTTTAGTATGTCATATGGCACATAACTCACTAGTGTTAGATTTTTATTTGACGTCTTTGTGTAGAGCGTGGGTGTGGGTGTGGGTGTGTAACCCTGTCTTTTACTAACACCCATTCACACGCACACCCACACACACACCCATACCACCCTCACACACCCACACCCACACCCACCAACCCACACCCACACCCTCAAGACTGTGTACCCAATTTTAGCTACTCCAACTCTTCAAAATTATCGACAGCACTGATCATGGCAGAGTTGTAAACTGACTGGCGAAAGATATAATGTGACGCGTTAGACTTTAACTACAATAGCTGAGTACTAGGATTCTGTTATAGAAGATGTATTAGAATGAGGATTGAGAATATAACAAATCGCACAACAAGCATCGCTTTCCATCATTTGTAATAATGCGTTCTGAAACTATTTGTCTATTTTCTCTTATGCAGTTGTTTTGCTCTTTGAACTCCGGTATTTCAACAGCAATTATTTCTTGTCATTGTCTCTTTGATCATTTACATGCTTGTCTGCTAAGTTAGTACCACAACACTATAATTATACTACGTGAATGGACATCTTACTGATATGAATTACTTTTGTATACTTATGACTAATCGATTATACTTTCTGATTTTGGGACATTCCTATCTCGTGCATTGTGTATATAAAGTGGCAAATCGCACAATCATATACCTTTTTTTGTTCGAGAAATCAGACAAATGAATTTATCGAATTTTCACATGTATGGCTCTTGAAAGATAAATAGAAAAATGACGAGTCGGAAGTGGCGTTCTGACGGAGCGTCGGCGACCAGCTTGGAGATGATCGTCAGACTTCATATAGTCTGTGTTTTTTGTAGAAAGTTGCAAAAGAGATACGAGCAGTCACACAATAAACCATACAAACAAATACTGTAGCAAATTCAACGACAAATCTTATATATCGTTTGAAATCAATGATCGACGTGTTCTACAAACAAAATCATGCAGTAGATCAATCTACTCAACAATTAGACTCCCATATTAGAACTAATAGTGAGTGAATCCATAAAGAGAAATCACTAGTATCTACAATATTCTTTTGGAACATCTGTCCAATTTTCATTCATGGTAATTGATACAAAAACCTGAATGTTCCGAAAAAATATTATAAATATTGGTGATTTTCCTTTATCTGAAAGCTAAAAATTATTCTATAGCTATTTTTCATCGACTAAACGCCTGCCACACTAAGAAAACCATCAAGAAAAGAGTTTTTCAATGGCTTTGTTCGGAAATAGAAGTCTGTCAAAAGTGGTGGGATCTCTATAAATTTATCCTAGTGTGTCTAGGAGAATACTTTCCTTAACTGAGATGGCAGAAAAGTATGATATCGATCAGAAAGTGAGTTTTCAATTGGGTTTGCATTTCAAACAAAAACAATATACCTATGGATAGAGATCTGATGAATGCTCAGTCTAGGGACAAGTGAATCGAAAGCCGACTCCCTCTACTAGTTATATTTTCGAACTTCGATCTAAAATTTTGCATAAATAGATACCTCAGTGAAACTAGCTAGTAGAGAAAATTCCATCATTTTTACACCAGAAGTACACTTTCAAATGCTCTTTAAAATTACTTAAGTGCTTGTAGAGGTATGTCGATTACAAAAGTTCTGCAAACTTTTTGTACATACCTTAAGAGCAAAACGAAAAATTTATGTTAAAACATGTCTTTCTTTTTACAAAAAAGCGTAAAATCACGCATTTCTAATGTTCCTTCGTTATAAAACTTGAAGATTTGCAAATTTGTTGAAAAACATGTTTAAACGCAGTTCTAGTCATTCATTGGTTATCTGAGTAGTCGCTAGACTTCGCGTAATACAATAGATATTATCTTATATTCCCATTATAATCTAAGTCTTGCCTTTCACTAATGAAGAAAATCTATCGTGCCAGGTAGAATCAAATGAAGTATATGATTTCAAGAAAAGATCATTCAATTTTGATAAAACAATGTTTACCTATAGCTTTTGCTTGATCTTCAAAACGTTTGTGTACACCAAGCCAAACGATGTGTCCTCGGTTTTTAAGTTCCTTGGCAAGGATAAAGTAAGGTTTACAATCGCCTAAAGTACCAATGAGTGGTATGAAAATCTTTTTTTTACTCATATTGTTCTTATTTTTATTATTGTCATTGTCTTGTTCAATGTTCACACCTTCAACTTGATTTTGCATTGCAGCAGCCAGTAAAAAATATGTTCTACAATAGAAAAGCAATCAACCCTTTACTCCAAGAACAACGATATGAATAAAGAAAAATAAATATGTTGTAACAAAATGAAGGGTGTAATCATTTCGTTAGTATAGCTATAATTTAGTGCGCTACACCACGTTTTGCACTAATATGATCATGTTCATCTTGCATATAATTGGAGGGTACAAAAACTTAGCGTCATTATTTAAAAATGACATTCTATAATAGTTCATTACTTATATTTAGTTGCTGCGCTTTGTCCTTATTGAGGGTGGGTGTGGGTGTGAGAGTGTCGAGGAAAAATACTATTCACACCCACCCCCTACATATATTATTCTTTTTATGACTAACGAGGGAACGTCGCTAGGTGTTACCCTCCGATTTTCCAAATTCCCT